CTCTCTTTGCCATGCTTGCTTGCTTCCTGATTAATGGTCACATTGCATAACTCCTAACTGCAACTTAAATTTCTTAAAGGGATCACAACCAAATAAAAGAAAAACAGAGAATTCTTGGTTTCATTTTTGAAGTGAACTTCCAATGTATTGAGTGGTAATAAAACCGGTGTCAAATATGCAGCCAATGAGAAACACTGAATGTACAGGGTGAGCAATGTTTAACGTATACATTTTTTTTTTTTTTGGAGTAAGTATGAGGAAGAATAGGCACTATAATCAACACTATACAACATGTATGTATGTATGTATGTATGTATATTTAACATATATGCAATTTCACAATCACTGTTTTATCTGAACTGCATTTATAGGAACTTTTAATGGTCTAGGAACAGTACAACCATTACCACAACGAAATGATCATTAACAATAGTAAGATAGATAGAAAACGATATACTTCTAACAATCAGCTTTTTATACTGTAACAGTATATTGTTAAAGGCAATCAATACATACCCACGATGCTACAACAGGAGCAAGATGTATGCAAATATCACAGTATTAACTTCAGATACAATAAACATGCTGCTCTCTTTGCCATGCTTGCTTGCTTCCTGATTAATGGTCACATTGCATAACTCCTAACTGCAACTTAAATTTCTTAAAGGGATCACAACCAAATAAAAGAAAAACAGAGAATTCTTGGTTTCATTTTTGAAGTGAACTTCCAATGTATTGAGTGGTAATAAAACCGGTGTCAAATATGCAGCCAATGAGAAACACTGAATGTACAGGGTGAGCAATGTTTAACGTATACATTTTTTTTTTTTTTGGAGTAAGTATGAGGAAGAATAGGCACTTCTAGTTTCCAATATTCAAATTATTCAGTCAGACAGAGAGACTCTAAACGACAAGAACAAACTTTAAGAGACATAATGGCATCTTCATATAAAGGTCAGTCGTAATGAATTATCTAACCTAAAATGACATTCACAGACTACAGTTTGTTTAATACAATGAGAACTGAATTCTATACTGTGCTTTTTTGGTTGAAAGCAGTAAAACAATAAGAAAAAAATGGTATCTTCATAAGTATTTTTAATCATGTTACTACTTTTTGATTTAAAGCTACTACAGTCAAGAGTTTACAATTCTTGTGTTTTACTATTTCATTATGCATTTGTATAAAAGGACGGAGTATGATTATTAAACATTTAATATGATATTGCCAACATATTCACTGTAAAAAAAAATATACGTAATTTTTCTTTTGCAGATTTTTGAATGTGTTTTTAAAGTCAAATTTAAGTATGAAATTAAGTCCAATCTACTTAACTAAGTTATGTAAAATTAGCAAAGGAAATAAGTAAATTTAACATGGCCAGTTAGAATTTGAGCAATTTCTACTTAATTATTTTAAGTTTACTCTGCAACACTCAAGTACATTTCACTCAGTCACGGTTTATAAACTTTACTCTATTAATGTAGCACAGATTAAATTCATGCTATTAAAGCTTGTGGTTAATTTACAAACATGTAATTAAGCGAGTGAGCAGCTTGTTATCCTTTTTAAGAGCATATGTTTACTCAATACAGTTATTACCCACATAAACACAGAAACCTCAATACTTGGTATATAATACACAATGACGGTAACAATCAGTGGATAATGTTTTGAGTATAAATAGAAACGCACTACAGATGTCACAAAACAGCAAATTACTAAACCTAACAACAAAAGCAACCATAAAATAGTGTAAATACAACTTGAAAACAGTGAAAAAAATGAACCTTATTAATTATTCATGCCCCAGTGCATGATGAGATCAACGGGATCATAACTTTATTTACGTAAAGAATCCTTATGATATTGCCAACATATTCACTGTAAACATAAACAATTCCAAGTAAAATGAGCATGATGTTACCATGAGAAATTGTACATATTCAATGAAGAAAACCTGGGGTGGCCAACCAGATTTCTGTGTGGCACTGGCCACCATGTAGACACTCCCCTGCTTGTCACCTGTCAAACTTGAATTATCTGTTTCCAGAAGGAACATGACCCTTACATAAAGAAAATATATTTCCTTATATATGAATGATCAATATATTAAATTATTTAATAGTATATTTAAATTATACAGAATAATGTATTGTGTAATTATATTACAATATACTGAATAACACACAAGGAATTGCAGCTTTCACATATTGAAAAATATGTGACCATATATTTACTTTTATACAACAGTTCTTTCTGGTCCTCGAATCTGATTGGCTGATACGAGTGTGATATTAGAATGATAACAGAACTCCTCCAACCATTTCACCGTTTATATCACTCCGCTTGCAGTATTTCTCCCAGCAAGTGTCATGGCGGACACCCAAATCCACAATAATTTTTAAAAATAATAGTTTTTGTGTCACGGTAGTTTTAAGAGTTTTTTAGGCAAGAATGTACTTGTTTAGACTTCAAAATATGTGGTTTGTTAATAAAGATAATGTCTATTTGAAAATTTGCTTTGATGTTTTCGGAAGCGTGAGCTCCAGGGTGTCAGCGGCTGTTCAGCGCTCTTGACCCCGCCGAGAGCAGCCTCACCTCGGCCAGATCTTCTGGAATTTGCCACTGGCTCTGATGTCTCTATAGTGGTTGAACATGAGATATAATTTGTTTTGGGTAAATCTGCCCGTTAGGGGCAGTCTTTGGTCTTGTTAATCTATTATTTGTTCCAGAGCTAATAGTTTTTGGCTGAGGGCAAAATCTCATCACGTTATATTTTATATAACTTTAATGCAGTATATCAGAGCGCTGCCTTTGTACTATTGATTGAATTCCCTAGCAACTTTTATGATGCCTGTTGTTGTTTATTAAATATTATTATTAAAAAAACAAATCTTATTTGGCCTCATTTTCTTATCTTTTTCCAGAGCAAATAGTTTTGGCTGAGGGCAAAATCTCATCACGTTATATTTTATATAACTTTAATGCAGTATATCAGAGCGCTGCCTTTGTACTATTGATTGAATTCCCTAGCAACTTTTATGATGCCTGTTGTTGTTTATTAAATATTATTATTAAAAAAACATTTTATTTAAATAATAGTATTTAGTATTTGGAAACAGTGTGTGTATGTGTGTGTTCGTGATGGTGATTTTAGTTACACTGTTCTACCATTAGATGGCGACGAGAGACTGTTTTTACGAGTCGGCAGTAAATACTTTTATATTGAAAGAGGCTGAAACGATGTTGTAAACAAGGAAGTTCTTTTTATTTTCAACAACACCTTGTAAGACGCAGCCAACAAATGCACTGAGCAGCACTGTCATCGGATGAAAGATATTACGACAAACATATCGCTTTCCTCAGTGGACATTCAAACTAATGTTTTATTGTGAATATGAGACTGAGCTGCAGATTTAATGCTGTATTAGATGCAGGTAAGCACACTAGTGATGGGAGAAACTAACCTTTTCAAAGCTCTCAATCAATTGAACCAATTGCTTCGCAAAATGTTTTACTGTTTAGAAGCGCTCGAAACATCACATGCCAGTTGTGCCTGCTGGTCAAAAGTGTGTTAATGCAACAAAATCTCAGGTTAAAACATACATAAAAACAGCTTTTACAAACCCATTGCAAATGTTTAATTGAAAGTATAATACATTAAATGCAATAAAAAGAATAAAATACCATTAAATATGAAGTGTCAGTATAGTATGCGGGGTTTTTTTAAAATTATTTTTATTAATTTGCAGGACTTGATTTTTTGTTTTATGGAGAGCTTAAACAGGCCAGTAAGAAACTATTAACTACTACTCATCCTTTTAGTTACACAAATGTTTGATTGAAAATGTCTACAAATTAATAAAACCTGAGATTGGGTAAAAACCATAGACGCTGGTTCAAAGGTTCGCTATTGGGGGGATGATCTCAATGAACTCTGATGATTTATGAGTTCACAGAGATCGCCCTCCCCCTAGGCAAACCATTGAAATGTTGAAATGTTTCAAAGCAGTTACTATACTTACATGTTGTGGTTATTATATCTTAAGAGTATATTATTTTAACCCTTTAATATTTAGTATCATTGTAAAGGTATCCAGCAGTCACTTATATTATTACTGCTGAAGAATATATAAACTTTTGAAGAATTCTGTTATGCTGCTGAGGGGTGTGTCTCCCCCAGGGTCTGTGACAAAGTTTTCATATCTCTGGCTAGGTGTGACTTGGGATCCTAACAAACCAAAAGGTCTTTTACAACTGATTTGAAGATTTCTTTGTGCTGGTCTGGATATATAAGCTAAGTTGCATTATAGTCATTTGGGATTCTGTAACCAGAAAAGGAAGTAGTTCTGCACAAAAGAGGGTTATTAAAGACGCTCCGTTGTTGTTTTTCTTATTGCATTTATACAACAGTTTGACGGCACGAGTGTGTAAATACATATCATACTTGTAAACATGAGTTATGGCTGTAAATTGGCATGCTGTGATTAACCTGCCCTCATACACACTCACAAAACACACAAAAAGCACTGGGAACCAGCAATAGTCACAAAAAAGTGTTTAAAGTTTGACTTTAAAGGGGTCCTATTATGGGTCCTTCTACGCAGTCTTAATTTGGTTTTTGAGGTGTACTAGAATAGGTTTTCATGATTGATTGTTCCAAAAACGCAAAAAAAATAAATAAATAAATAAATAAAAATAAAATGAGCGACTTTGACTTCACAAAATCCAAAAAAAGCATGCACAAATGTAGTCCGAATGAGCTGTTTGTTGTAGTGCTTGAAAAGTATTTTCTGTTAAAGAGAACATCTCCTTTTAGAGTAGGCATTGTAACTTTGCAGATATTTTTATGCTCAAACAGCAACATTACACACTAACTAAAGTTGAAAAAGCATAATATAGGACCCCTTTAAAGGAATAATTCACTAACAAGGTTAATTTACTCACCCTCAAGCCATCTGAGATGTAGGTGATTTTTTTTTTTTAGCTAAAAACCATGGTCTTTGGTAATTAGTAAAATGCAAGTCAATGGCTACCGTCACTTGAGAGTCAAAAAAAGCAACATGAATACCCGCGGCTCCTGATGATATATTGAAGCGAAACAATTGGTCTGTGCAAGGAGCTGAACATTATTTACAAAATTACCACCTGAATATAATGCTTATAGTTTTATTTAGCATTTTTAAAGAAGTTTCCATCTCTCATTTGATCTTCTCCAATCTTGTCAGATCTGAGGATCCAGAGAAAAACTGAAGCTGGAACGAGCTCATCAGGAAACATCATCCTGAGACAAAAGGTGTTTGAAGCACACCGATCTTCTGAATCTGTGACTGAGGAATGCCAACAGTATCAGCAGAAGGTAGAGGGTAGAAAAATCTCAGTGATCGACACTTCAGGACTGTCCGATTCATCAATCAGTGAAGGACAACTGAAGGAGGAAATAGTGAAGTGTGTCGAGATGTCTGTTCTTGGTCCTCGTGGATTCCTGGATGAAAAATTCACAGATGAAGAGAAGACTGTGAAATGGATTCAGGAGAACTTTGGAGAAGAAGCTGCACATTACACCATCAATATGCTCACTAGAGGAGACCAGTTAAATACACCGATAGAGAAATGTATGACAGATGATCAGATTAATGAGGCAGGTAAAGGCAGGTATCATGTTTTTAGTAACACAGATGTTAAAAATCGATCGCAGGTCACTGAAATGCTAGAGAAGATCGACAAAATGGTGGAAGAAAATGGAGGACAGCATTACACAAATGAGATGAACCAGGAAGCTCAAAGAAGGAGTTTGGAAGAGGAGGAAAACCCGGGAGAGGAAGAACCATTGAGTTTGGCTCAGAAAGCAGCATTTGTGGGAGCAGGCATGTTAGGAGGAGTAATTGGAGTAGCAGGAGCGGTTGTTGGAGGTGTAGCACATGGAGCAATTGGCTTAGTAGCAGCACCTGTAGCTTTAATAGGAGCAGGAGTTGCTCTCATGGCAGAAGGAGGTGCGTTAACTATTGAACATGCATTGAAAGTTTGCATGGAGCAGAAGGGAAATTAAGGAAACCGTGCATAATGGGTTACAAATTCTGCAAGAGCTAATTACTCAAGGCCACTTAACAGAGTTAAGGGAGGGATGCAAACAGGATGTGATAAACAATAATTCAAGCATGATTTCAATGTAAAATATAAATGAAGTAAAATGAACTTGTCAAGTGCTCTGGTAATAATTTCAATACTAATACTATTAATTGTGTACTATTACTGACTGTTGCTGACAATGTTATGAAATAAAAGGTTTTGAAATCCAGTTATTGATGCCATTGTCCGATATTTAGCATCTTACTGTACCCAGTGGAAAACCCCCAAAAAGTGAACTGTACTGAGCCGTACCATGCAGTGGAAAAGCGCCATTATTCAAATGTGTGCATCGGTTAAATAAAATAACTTAACTCTCCCAGTTAAATGATACATTTTAGTTGAAAACATCATGTATAGTATGGTTCATGAGGATAGAGTAGATGACAGCATTTTCATGAATTTAATTGATAATTCAACCATTAATGTGATAGGTTAGCTATAAATCCAAAATAGCTGAAAAGATGGCAATAGGAAAAATTGCAATTTGGCATAAAATGTTGCCGAGTGCTTGATATAAGACATCCATGAATAATAGCTATTTGCTATGTTTTGGAAAGTACCTGCAAAACGTTGTTTATGAGTTGTATAAATTAGTATAAATTGTTTATAAATGAGTAAAACTGTATGAGTAAAACTTGTGTTGTATATAATGTTAAACTTGAAGCATTTTATTGTTCCAATTTGAATTACATAAAGGCATAAGATATAAGGACACACTACAAATCAGTAGCGTTTGTAAAAATAATCAACCCAGCTTTAACATTTTCATCTAGAATATTCTGTATACATCATGCATTGTTTTCAAACATAAAACACACCTTAACCGAGGATGATGATACCATTTAGAGATCATATACAAAGTTTAACACTAGAACCGCCAGAGGAATCGCTGTATACCTAAAAGCGCCAGCGGCTAAATTTTACCCACGCACAACAACTGTATTTATATGGCTAAAGAACATATTATTTTACTGTATTATGCTACTGTCTTCACAAAGAAGTGTCTAGAGTCGTGAAAAGATTATGTCTAGTCATCAACTATAGTTTTATCCTGTTGATTTATGTTCAAGACTTTTTAATGCAGTCTACACTAATCCATAACAGTCAGTAGCCTAAGCTAAAAAAAAAAAGTCTGCACCGACAACTTATAAGGTAGTAGCCTAAATATTTGGGTGGTTTAATATTATAATACAATGTCATTAATCAATATAATAAGATAACCCATGCTATTGAAATGACTAAAATAGCCTATAGACAATAATGAGCAATAATAATTCACCACACTGCATAGGATGATGCGATGACAAATTCAAGCGCACAGCTTCACCTGAATATTTATTAATTTGTTTAGTTATATCATATATCATTTGAATAAGAGAACAACACCATTAAACTTTAGGTAATCAAAAAATGGTTTTATTCATTACATCATATAGATCAGATTTTTTTTCTTCTTCAGGAAACGGCCAGACTAGAATAGCAACACAGTAGCAAACAATAAACGATATGGCAAGAAAAAAATTAAATAATTAAACCAAAGTTTGACCAATTAGAGTAATGTTAGTCTAAAACATGTAAATATGATGTCTGGATCACTGTCAGATGAGCCGTCAGATGCTAAACCGACCCAGGACGCATACCTTACCATCAGACTCTCCAACACTCATGGCATTTAGTGTTTCTAATACCTACCTTCCAGAAATCGCCTTTTTTTTACTGCATAGGATGATGCGATGACAAATTCAAGCGCACAGCTTCACCTGAATATTTATTAATTTGTTTAGTTATATCATATATCATTTGAATAAGAGAACAACACCATTAAACTTTAGGTAATCAAAAAATGGTTTTATTCATTACATCATATAGATCAGATTTTTTTTCTTCTTCAGGAAACGGCCAGACTAGAATAGCAACACAGTAGCAAACAATAAACGATATGGCAAGAAAAAAATTAAATAATTAAACCAAAGTTTGACCAATTAGAGTAATGTTAGTCTAAAACATGTAAATATGATGTCTGGATCACTGTCAGATGAGCCGTCAGATGCTAAACCGACCCAGGACGCATAACTTACCATCAGACTCTCCAACACTCATGGCATTTAGTGTTTCTAACACCTACCTTCCAGAAATCGCCTTTTTTTTTGTCGTTTTGACTTTATTTATGAAACTGATAACCGCTAAATCAGTGAGTGAAAGGCATTGCCTAGCAATGTACAATGTTAAAACATAAGCAGCAAGAAAACTACAGTGCGAAAATACATGCATTATATAGGTGGGTAAATTTGACCCGCTGGCGCTTATAGGTATAAATGCCCCGTTTTTTGATCTGGTTTTATCTAAATGATTTTTAACAACATTGGATTGTAAATTACATAATTTTAGTAAAAAGTCAATGACTGAGAGATTTGAATGTTTTATTTTAAATCTGTTGTCTAGTGTTAATGACTGCTCTTCAAGACGTATATTTTTTAAACAACATGCACTCAAAAAAAAAAAGATTCTAGCCACTAATTGAGCTTAAGCAATTTAAATAAAATATTTTAAAATGTATAAAAATAACCATTATTGCTCTGAATTACCCTTACACAACATGAATGTAATGGATCCAAGGCCAATCTGATCAAATTGCATACACATACACTGGGGTAGAGAAAGAACAGCAGTATCGGTCCATAAGTGATGGTCTTTACTGTAAGGAAAACTCTTTTTTTTTGTGGAGAGGAATTGAAAATATCTTTGTCATTATACATTGATGACTTTGAGCTCTGTAACCCTCTAGGAACCTCAAGTAAAAAGCACAAACTTTGTGGGGTCTATTGGACTTTTAATAACGTGCCATCTGGATGCAGTTCAACACTTTAATTTATCTATTTGGCAGTTTTATGCAAGAGTGATCGTGTAAAGTCATATGGATATGGCACAATTTTAGAGCCCCTTTTACAAGAATTGATTACTTTAGTTTCTTTTGTCAGATTGGATGTTTTTTTTTTAATCATGGAGCAATTGCAACACAATAAATGTTTGAAAATGTAATGGTTTTGACCGCTTATTCAAAGTAAGGTAATTATAGAAAGCAAGTAACAACAATTTATTTGAAAATAATAACGTTTATTTATTACACAATCTTAAATCATAGTTCATCAATTTACATAACATTTATTTAATTCATTCATGTCAGCTGAACATGATGGTAAAGCTTAAAATGTTCACTTTTACATTGGATTTATGTGATTAAATTGGACGGAAAATTGACACGTAATTAAAATACACAAGTTTTAACTTTTGAGTTTTGTTTTTAATTTATTTATTTTATTTTGTGCAGTGTGCAGAACTATGTTTTGACTGTTTTTGACCTGTAAATACCAGTCTCTGATCTCAGAGGTTATTCAGGCTTGGACTTGGTTTGACGAGATTTGCATCAAGCAATGCTCTTATCGGTAATCAAAATCTGGCAGCAACAGCATATTTTTCCACTTGGAAATTCCAGAACAACCCGTCTTGTCACCCACATGGCAATAAACCAACAAAATGTGGAACAGTAGGGATTCATCTGGTCGTTACCAATCTAAAAAGGAGTGACCCAACAATTCACCGAACGTCATTGTCCAGTTGTGTTAATTATTTTATGGTATGTTTTTTAAGGACTCGTTCTGATTGTTTGCAATTAATGTGAAAGTAAGTGCAGTTAGATTTTTTTCTTTACAAATCAGTTGCGAATGCTACTGAATGAATGTGATTTTACCACAGTACTGTACCTCGATCCTGTTAGTAAATGCCCACCCTAGTGAAAAATAGTATACTTAAGCACAATTTATTTGTATGTACTTTAGTATAACAAAATGTATCTGTGGCACACTATAAGTTGGTATACTTAAAATCTGTTAAATTGCAACAACTAATTTTGCACTAAATGCATTTTAGTCCAAAAGCAGTGCTGAAGTTCAACTAAAGTTGTAATAAGTATACTTGGATCGCTGTATACCTAAAAGCGCCAGCGGGTAAATTTTACCCACGCACATGACAACTGTATTTATATGGCTAAAGAACATATCATTTCACTGTATTATGCCACTGTCATCACAAAGAAGTGTCTAGAGTCGTGAAAAGATTATGTCTAGTCATCAACTATAGTTTTATCCTGTTGTTTTATGTTCAAGACTTTTTAATGCAGTCTACACTAATCCATAACAGTCAGTAGCCTAAGCTAAAAAAAAAAAGTCTGCACCGACAACTTATAAGGTAGTAGCCTAAATATTTGGGTGGTTTAATATTATAATACAATGTCATTAATCAAGATAACCAGATAACCCATGCTATTGAAATGACTAAAATAGCCTATAGACAATAATGAGCAATAATAATTCACCACACATGATGCGATGATGCGATGACAAATTCAAGCGCACAGCTTCACCTGAATATTTATTAATTTGTTTAGTTATATCATATATCATTTGAATAAGAGAACAACACCATTAAACTTTAGGTAATCAAAAAATGGTTTTATTCATTACATCATATAGATCAGATTTTTTTTCTTCTTCAGGAAACGGCCAGACTAGAATAGCAACACAGTAGCAAACAATAAACGATATGGCAAGAAAAAAATTAAATAATTAAACCAAAGTTTGACCAATTAGAGTAATGTTAGTCTAAAACATGTAAATATGATGTCTGGATCACTGTCAGATGAGCCGTCAGATGCTAAACCGACCCAGGACGCATAACTTACCATCAGACTCTCCAACACTCATGGCATTTAGTGTTTCTAACACCTACCTTCCAGAAATCGCCTTTTTTTTTGTCGTTTTGACTTTATTTATGAAACTGATAACCGCTAAATCAGTGAGTGAAAGGCATTGCCTAGCAATGTACAATGTTAAAACATAAGCAGCAAGAAAACTACAGTGCGAA